GGACTGGGTTGGTGGGTGGGTGAGTGGATGGGCGGTGTATGTGGGTGGGTGGGTGGGCGGGTGGGTGGTGGGCAGGCCCCCGGGCTGGGTCAGTGGGTGTGAGTGGGCGGGCGGCCGGACTGGGTCGGTGGGTGTAAGTGGGCGGGCGGCCGGGTTGGGTTGCTGGGTGTGAGTGGGCAGGCGGTCGGGCGGTGCGTGGGTGAGCGGTGGGTCGCTGGGTGTGAGTGGGTGGGCGGTCAGGCAGTCAGGCGGTGGTTCAGTGTAATAAAGAGCAGAGCCTCTTTTAAAAAAAAGAAAAAAAAAACGACGAAAACAAAAGGGAAAAAAAAAGGTTTTTAACAAAATAAAAAAGAGTCCGCTATCAATGGTTCTTGTTGGGGCTTGAACCCACACACTGATTTGAAATACGCAACTGCCCTAACCACACAGGTGGATTGGGTCCCTAATCCACCTGTGTGGTTAGGGCAGTTGCGTATTTCAAATCTGTGCATGGGTTTAAATCCCAACAATAACCATTGAAAAGAAGGTTTCCAACAAAAGAAAAAAAAACCGCATCCAGCGGCCTAGCTCAGTTGGTAAGGCACGCAAGTGGCATTCAGGAGGTCTTGGGTTCAATCCCCATTGGCCTCATGTACCTTCCTGGCAAGCTTGGTGCCCGCCACCTAGAGATATGTCGTTGGTTCCCCCGAGTGGCATTGAGCAGAGACTGCTGATGTTCATTGGGGAGGGGAACGGAGGGGAGGCACAGTGACTCGCCCATCGAAGAAGCTCGGTCCTGACGCTACCAGTTGGCCCCTGGCCGGTATCGCCCACCAGCTGTAGCAGGTATCGCATCTGCTGGTGCAGGTGTAACGCACCAGCTGTGTGGGGGGCGCGGGGTGGAGGTGGGGAGCGGGGGTCTGAGGGTGGAGGTGGGTCACTACCTGCGACGTACCCGCCACCCCGCTTCCTTTTGTCGACGCCGGCCCTTGCCGCCAAAAAGAAAAAAAAAAAACGAAAAGCAGGAAACAACACGCCAAAAATTAAAAAAAAAGAAAAGAAAAAAAAGGACGATCGTCTCCATCCGCCGGCCCGCAACAAAACTTCACCCCCAAAAAGAATATACAAAATCAAAAAAAAAAAAAAAAAAAAAAAGTTACAAAAAGCACACAAAAAAAAAAAAAAAAAAGGGGTCGGGGCACGAAACGACACTTTCTTACAATCCGACGGCGGCCACGTTCAGATATTAGTGCGCATCGACACCCTCCGTCTACCCGGCCCCGTAGGCCCGCTCTCTCGTTTAGTGGCGCGCTGTGAACAATTCGGTACGCGCGCCACTCTACACAACGCCCCTCCCGCGGTGCAGGTGTAACGCACCCGCTGTGTGGGGGGCGCGGGGTGGAGGTGAGGAGCGGGGGTCTGAGGGTGGAGGTGGGTCACTACCTGCGACGTACCCGCCACCCCGCTTCCTTTTGTCGACGTCGGCCCTTGCCGCCAAAAAGAAAAAAGAAAAACGAAAAGCAGGAAACAAAAAGAAAAAAGGAAAACGAAAAGCAGGAAACAACACGCCAAAAATTAAAAAAAAGAAAAGAAAAAAAAGGACGATCGCCTCCATCCGCCGGCCCGCAACAAAACTTCACCCCCAAAAAGAATATACAAAATCAAAAA